TTAAAGCTTACTTAGAGAGATTTTCTGGGTATCATACTGTCTGAGCCACGCAGAAGGGCTTTGTGGCTTTGTTCCAAAATATCCGTCCACCCGTCCGCTTAGAGAATAACTCAAGTAAAACTTGCAATTTCGCGAATATTTCTATTTATCCAAAATGGTTTGGTAATGAAAATGGGAATAATCGGTCTGTAGCCACGCTCACCTCCCATATAACGGTATTTTCAAAAAAAAATAATAATAATAATAAAATGCAAAAAAAACAAAAGGCAATTATTAAAATTTCGGAAAATAGACGTAGCGATGCTCACTAACATATCTCTGTAGCCCCTTTACTAATTTCCACCAAACTCAGTGCGCACATTGCTTAGAGTCTCACTAAAAGTTTTTTGAAATCAGACAAGAACCACGCCCACCTCCCATATAACGGTATACTTTTAGAAATACTAAGACTGCGATAAAGCAGTGACTTCCGAAGCTACTTCACTGAAAAAAGATGTTTGCAATGTTATTATCGCAAAATTCTTGGTTAATGGCACCGCCCTCTTATTGCCTACTATGGTGCTTATCATAACTATACAATACTCACATATTGACAAGACTTGACGATTTATTTCATTTTTATTTTTTTGATTTCATTATTTTGTTTTTGTTTTTTTTTTATAAAAGTATAGATTATTCCCTAACTAAACCGTTTAAATCCAAATTTAAACATTTCTGTAATATCTATTAAAGCAAATTAATAAACATTCTTGAATTTTTACGAAAGTTTGTTGATTTTTTTTTGTTTATGTTGCACGAAGCTTGAAATTTGAATTTATACGGTTTTGGTTAAAGAATAAACTATATTTTGATGAAAAAATACTTAAAATTTTAAAAATAATAAAAGAAATAGTCAAGTCTCGTCATTAGATGAGTGTTGTTAGGTTCTGATAAGCACTAAAAATGTGTGTATATCAATAACAGATTTATAAATTTCTACCAAACTCGGTACAGTCATTGCTCTTGGTACAGACATTTTAAGCTAACAATTTTACTAGGGGATCATGGAAAATAAAAAAAACTTCTACGAATAAAGAGAGATAAACAGTAATTAAATACGTAATATTTCATGACAAAAAAAATAATATTTTCCGTAAACGACACACCTTTAACAACCTGTTAAAAAAGTATGCGATGGACCAAAGTCCGTCTGGCATTTGAGTTCCAAGTTTAAATACTAACCTTGATTAAGCTCGGTTGAAGTCCTAAAATTACAGTTCTGCTGAGGAAGAAAAATTTTTTTCCCCCTTTTTTAAAGATGGCAGCGATTCCACAGCTCCTGACTCTCGCAAATTAATTTTTACATTCACAAGTTTACCAGTTTTCGACCCTGATTTGACTGATTTATATTTATCTACATACTTAGCCACTTGGAACCTTAGTTTTTCTTTTACATATTTGCCAAAATAAAAAAGCCTTTTTCAGCGTTAATTTAGCACAACACTTGTCAACTGTCAATGTCAAATTCTCTAACACTTTTAAAATAAACATTGAGACTAAAAAACAATAAAATGAACGACAAAAAGTGAGAGCTGCAGTAATACATTTTTTGAACAAATTTTTTGAAAGGTTTAGTTTTATTACAACTATGTACATATGTATATGTTTGGTTAAACAATTTTTATCGCATTAAAATCTACTTTTTAACATTGATTTAAATATTTCTCCATTTGGTTTTCGATTTCAGTTTATTATAAGCTTTTATTTTTTTATTTTTTATTATGATGAAGTTACAATGCTTATGATAACTTTGTTAAATTCGTATTTTTTTGCTGCGAGTTACGTTTTTTTAGCGTTTAACATTATATGTATTACATACCTAGTATATGTATATTTAATTTTTGTCATTGTAATTAAATATGTATGTACTTCATTATTTTAATCGACTTGAATAAGTGCCCGCTCTAAAAAAAACTGTTTAAGCCATACTACATATATTGGATTTCATTTCAATTTTATTGAAAGAGAAATGATAGACTATATGGCATGCTATCCGGTTTGGATCAGTGTATTAAGGGATGGGAGCTTGCGAAGTAGGTGTAAGGATTTTTACCAAGCAACTCTATCTGAAGTTCGTGCTTTCAGGTGGAAAGCTTTTCTTTTAAGGAGCCGGTATTGCACGAGAGCATTTTCTTAGATAGTCACTCTGGACTGTGTGGGTGCATGCCTAAAGGGTTGTCCAACATTTTAGTACGTTTTGCCGCAACTGAAAAGAACCGGGGTCAAAAGAGGCTGTTGAGTGCATTCTCTGCGAATGCCCGACTCTTACAAGATTGAGGCTAAAATACTTGGCTGATCATTCCTGCAGTTAAAAATCACTCAAACCAACCAACCAATCAAGAAATTATTGTTTTTATTTATATCATAGAGGTGAAGGACGACAATGCTTAAAATTAGTTTCGTGATATCCAAATAAGTTCAGTTCCTTTTCTTTTCGCTGAAAGTCATTTCATTGATCTAAAATGGATAAAAATATTTAGTATGGTTGTTATCGCAGTTCTGCGCCACCCTTTCTCATACCGCCCCCACTAGCTACGGCCCTGAATGTATAACTAATATTTATAAGGGCTGCGTTTTTTTATTCTTTCCAGATAATCCCATTTCACAGCCAGAATAAACCGAATGCGTTTGAAATATACGTTAACATATCATCAGGAACGTTCTAAAGAATAAGTAAACAAAAAAGTTTATTCCAACCGTTCAGAATGAATAAAAAAATGCAGCCAAAATGCGCAATTGCTTTTTTTTTATCATAACAGAAATTTTACTTAAGTTTATTTGAAAAAATCGAGGAAAAGTTCTGAAATTTTAATAAAAAGCAATTGCTTAGGTTTTATTCATAAGGCCGAGTGTGCGCAATTAAAGAGATAAAAAGATACAGAGATAAAAACAAATTGCTATACATACATCTGTGTTCAAAATCCAAATTCGTACAGTTGTACCAAAGGTGTCTAAGAAGGGTTAAAAGTAGAGGTTCTTGGAAAAAAACTGTTCTAAGTAGCTTTTCAATAGTCTTAAATTTCTTGAAAAGGAAAAAAATTTTGGATATTTTGACAAAAAAAAAAAAATGTTTCCAAATTTTAACTATTCTGAGTAGCTTTTCAATAGTTCTGGATTTCCGGAAAAGGAAAAATAGTTTTGCAAAATTACACCGAAAAAAAACATTGAAAGGGAAAAAAAGTTCTGCAAAATTACACAGAAAAAAAACATAATTTTCCTAAAAGTCGAAAATTATATTTTCTGAAAAACATTTACATTAAAACTGTTGTGAATATCTTTTCAACAGTTTTTGAATTTCATTAAAGTTGTATTTTAAACACGTTAAAGTTTTTCGGTTTTTTTTTTCGGTGTTATTTTGGAAAACTTTTTTCTCCTACTACTACTACTACTCAGAACAGCTTTAAGTTTTATTTTTTTCAAACATTAAACTTTTTCGGCTTTTTTGAAAAAGTGCATTTTTCTTTTCGCAACTTTTTTTTTTCTTTTCGGGAACTATAAATATTGAAAAGCTACTTAGAACAGATGTAATATTTTTTTTGTTATTAATTTAACTTTTTCGAAAAAAAGTTTTTATCGTCGTAACTTCGCAGAACTTCTTTTTTATTAAATTAAAAAAAAAAAATAATTTTTTTTTGGAAAATTTTGTAGTAGTTTTTTTCTTTTCTGGAGCTCTAGAACTACATATAGGCTACTCATATTTTTTTTAATGTTTATTTTTTTCAAAAATTAAACTTTTCGAGTTTTTTGATTTTTTTTCGGCGTAATTTTGCAGATCTTTCTTTTTCCTTCCCAGCAATTCAAGAACTATTAATATGCTACTGAGAACAGTTGTTTTGTCTTTTTGCGTCGTCCTGTATGCACTTTTTCCCATGCATGTATTTTATTTTATATTTTTTTATATATTAGTTAGCTCTAAGATGACAATTGTGAAAATGGGGTGATGAAATAAAAACCGGTGCTGTGAGTTAGAAAAAATTGGATGCTGCTTTGTTTTTGCTTTGCACACTTTATAATAGTCTTGCAGATGTGAGCCCTCCAATTTTTTAATACCTGTAGAAAGAAACAAAGAAATGTGAATTTGTCTCCAAAAAATGAAAATAGTCAGGAAATTTAAAAACTTTTACTCCATCAAGTAAAGCAGGCAGGCTATCAAGTCTCAAATATAATAGTTTATTATTTTAATTTTAGTTTTTTTTTTTTGCTTGAATTAGTTTTGATATATATTACCCTAGCAAGTTGCCTCAGTACGTACATATGTTCTATTACTAATGCTTAGTTAATATACTTATATTTATTTTAAATATTTCATAAATCTCAGCATCATAATCAACAATTGTGCGGTGTTACACCGTTACACAGCACAGCTAATACATACTACATTTTCAATTAATGCAGCATTTAGTCGCTAAATTTAAATCTATGTATAATTTTCATATGTATGTATGTATGTATAAATGTGTACTTTTTGTCTATTTCTACGGTTGTGTGCGTGTACATGAAGCCCGCAACTAAGCAAAGTGTACTAGTTTACATAAATCTTTTTACTTCACTATGCACATATTTTTGTTAATTTATCTTTAATCAACTGCTCTATACAATTAATTATTTTATAATTGAGTTTGACGGTTTCTCTGTTGAATACGGCGGCAAGTAATTGTGAACCCAAATCTTGGCTTTAAATATTTGTGAAAATACTCATTGAAAAATTGAGGTAAACTTTTTTTTTTTAAACTGATAAATATATGTACGTATATAATTTCGGCCCCTAACATAAAACAATCAAAGAAACAAGCATTTTCTTGCAACATGTACAAGTAAATAGAGTTAAGTTACCTTACTTCTGTATTTAATTGTGTTTTTCTTTAAACCTTAACGTCCACTCTATTTAGTTATTATTTTAGTTAAATTTACACTTTTTGTACCACATTACTGCTCTCGCCTTCTCTGTGGTGTTTGCCATTGTTGTTGTTTCTCCTGCTAATATCGACTCAATATTTGCTACACACGCACACAAAATGCTATAAATAGCGCCACGCCTACATAACGCACCAGCGCATGCGTACTAGCTGTGGTACAGGCAGCACCGTGTATGGCTTCGTTGTCGTCGGTCAGCAAATCGGCGTCATGTTTGTTTGTAGCCGATTTCGCATCGCTGCGGTAGTTGCTGTGATCGGGTGCTGTAAATAAGGAGTACAAAAACAAAAGTTTGCGATTAGTGGGGGCCGGATGTAAAATTAGTTATTACGAAAAATCTCGATACAAACTAATGCCAAAGAAAAATTTAAGAAACTAGTGAGCTCGCATGGCGTTAAAACGCGCAAAATTGAATTTGAAAAATCTAAAAAATGAGTAAACTTTATCGGCCATCTACAGGTTAAGGTCTTTAATTGCATGTCTTATTTTTTAAATTCGAAAGAACGGTGCAAATCTTTTGACTATCACAAAAAATGTCTTCTCGTATAATACATATTGTTAGATCGATAGGACTTTTCGAACGGGTAGCCAGCCTAATCAAAGATATTTTCAAGTTAAAGCTTTCATAAATCTTGTCCGATTGACACCCATATTCTAATATTACATAAAACGTGTCTATAATTTAGCTAAATTCGACTATTCAAACAGATGGAAATCCTTTTCAAAAGTATTCTCAAACTAAAAGCTTTTTGAATCCCTTTAGCCTGATGTTGTTATACAAATGCATTTAAATAAACTGATGAACTAAGTAGAATTTTATTGTTCGAACACGTAGCTACCCTCTTAAATAAATGTCGATTGATACTCATCTTTTAATAATTCATTTAATTTTTAAAATGATTTAAATTTAACTTTTTCAACAAATGGCAACCATATTCAAAAGCTAAAACCTTGTTAACTCTCCTTCGTCTAACTTTGCGGCAGAAATTTTAAAACAATATTGAATTAAGTTGAATTTCATTTTCGAACATGTGGCAACCCCGCCAAATATAGTTCAGGTTTTTCAAATCCCTTAGATTTATACGCATATTTTAATAGTTCCTTTAACTTATTAAGTAATTTGAATATAACTTTTTAAACCCTTATCCAACAACTCAAAAATATTTTAGGGTTCAAACTAAAGATTTCTTAACACTCTTTCATTTGACATGCATATTTTTTAAATTTCATATAACTTGCCTATAAGGAGTGTAAATTTGACATTCGAGCAGGTGGCAACACTCTTCAAAATATTTTTTTCAAACTACTACCTTCTGAAACACCTTTTTTTCGTATCTATATGGTGATACATATTTCTTTTACCTAATTGCCTTTATTCAATTTGAATTTAATTTTTGAAACAGGTGGCATCTTCTACAGTTAAGTTAAGAAACGAAGCTTTTTAAAACCATTTTGACTGATATCCATTTTGTAATAATTGTGTTTTTTTTTAATAATTTGCAGTCCAAGGCCATTAATTTGAGAACAAACACCAAGGAACGGGCAATAAAAAGGCAAAAGTTTTCGGGCGTTTTTGATGTCGTCCAGCAATTCCAGCTACTTATTCGCGCTCACGCGTTTCGGCCTCTTATTTCTCTATTCTCTCTTCAGTTCCCTATAACAATCCCACACATGTAGCTCGAGTTGTGTCCGATCGTAGCGTGGCCCTATAGCCGGCATCTATTTTCTCTGCAGCTTCTTAACACTCCTTATCGTACCAGTCGTAATTTCGCGCTCGCTGGAATGCGGTTACTTCTTTGGCGGCGGTACGTACTGAGCAGGAAATGTGATTCCACTACTCGCATAAGTATGTTTGTTTAAGAGTGCTCTCAAAGATTTGGTGTTAAGACCGAGTAGCAAAGATGCTGGCTATATGTTGTGATTTCGGATTTTTAACGTTGAGCTTTAATTGAAAATTTTTAGCAGAACAGCGATGGGTGCAACAAGGTAGTGGTCCCAGACGATGTTAAGTTCTCGTATAGCCCTCACGTCTAAAAAACTGTACGAATGCTTTACGTCTATTACAACATCATCGATTTGGTTTCCTGTTTTTCGATATGGAGGCAGGCATGTATCTTATAAATATCCTTCTGTTGGAACTTAGTGCTGTAGACACCATGCTCCGGGCTCTGGAGATGTCGATCAATGCCAGTTCGTTACCGAATGTTTCATCCTGCAGGCTGGGCTTTCCATCGGCGTGTCCAAAGATCCCTTCCTTGCCTACGATGACATTGAAATCGCTAAAACGGCAGCTCTCTTCCATCGGCGCGTTTGGACGAGAGTGAGCGAGATTGAAGAGTCTGTCTCTAATGCGGATTGTGGCGAGTCTCTGCCTGACTGGGACGAACGACAACACTCGGCGACGGAGCCTTTCTCCCACTATACATTCAACACCGAATTTGTGTTCCTTTACGGGGCGGCTGTAGTAGCAGTTCTTGGAGAGCGGCGATGTCAGCCTTAGTAATCAGCCGGGCAGAAGCACCTCCTGAATTAAGGGTTCGTTCATTTCTTTTAAGAGTAACACAGCTGTATGGTGGGAATTCTTTCCCATTTGTTATACTTTATGTAATTGCTTATACGAATGTTGGAACTATTTAGATCATTTGTTAAGGTAGACTCCCCTTTTACCTAAGCCTTTTACTCAATGATGTATACGTCAAGGCGCTTTCCTCGCTTCCCACAACTAGAAAAAGCAATCACTGCCATTAAAAATATTTTTACAGCTTCCCTGTTTAAGCCTTTGACTAGTTTGACTTTAGCACACGTCCTTGAATATCTATAACGTACATATTCAAAACCGTGCTCACATATTTATGTATGTGTATACATGTTTGTATGTGCTCATATCTGATCACTTATTTACACTTACGTTTGTGCCATTTATAGGAGAAACATTTGTTGACTTTAAGTCATCAAAAGGGACATATTTACATACTTACAGTATATAAATATTATGTCATGAAACCGTAACAATATCCCTGTGTCAATAATCAGAACCCAAACACATAATTCAGACACAAGTAGAATTATATATTTACAAAATTGGTGAAAAGTATGTAAGAATCCCTTTCGGCGATGATTTTTAATGTACACACAAATGAATTTCAACTTGTGTGTATGTAAGTATCTTTTTTGTTCTTGTCAGCTCGGGAATGATTGCTGTCCATATCACAGTTGTCCTACGGCATTGAGGGTCCTTCAACAGTGATTTTAGTGGACACATACATACATATGTGTGTAAGTAAGTAAGTATGTATGATAAAAGAGTTTTCCCACAACTAAGCGGTTAGTTTGAGTAAATGTGTGCGTGGGAGGGAAACTTAATATGTCATGCTGATGCAAATATAGAGTTATGCCGACGAACACTTAAAACTAAAATATTTGCCATGAGCAATTATTGCGGGGAACATTTTTGCTCCCTGTAGTATTTAAAATTGAATTAAAGTTAGAGATGAAAAAATAAATTTTTCGGAGCAGTGACAGTAGTTTTTTCGAGAAATATGTATAAATGTATTTAGGTAGGACTTTCGCTTAAATTTTTAGTAATGCCTATTAAATTCTAAATATAAGAAGTAAAATTTTGCATACAAACAAAGATAACTAATTTCTCCTACCGTCAGGAAGATAACAATCAGGAGACCACTTTCACCAGACGAAAATATATTGTTACGTCCTTTCCCAGTCTCTTAAGATCTGAGTTCGATCACTAAATTGTCGAATAAAGCTCGTCAACCAACTTATATTTTTCAATTCAAAATTCCAACTACCCATACATTTTTCCGTTTTTCTGAAAACTCAATATTATCTATGAACACTCAATTAAACGAATCAAATAACAACAAGTATGAAAAGTAACAGGTGCAATAACTCTACAAATATCTAGTAGTATCGCGCCTTTTCAAGTTCGTCACACTGCCCTCCGCTTAAGTCTGATCGTCCCGATTAGACATAAATTTCTTCGTTCCAAACGGAGCCAGTCTTTCCAGATGAACTACTTTGATTTTCGCCTGCCCCGTATTACATTTCCGTATACGATACACCACATCATTTAGCTTTTTAACCACCTTGTATGGACCTTCCCAGGATGCTTGAAGTTTGGGAGAAATCCCTTTCTTCCTTTGCGGATTATAAAGAAGTACTAAGTCACCTTCCTTAAATCCTTCAGAGTTCACAGCACGATCAAACCGATCCTTCATCTTATCACTCATAAGCTGGGTATGTAGCCTCACATGATGGTGTAACTTATCCATGTCATCCCGCAGCGTTTCCCAATGACTGCCTTCGTCCATTGTGGGAGCAGCACCTCTTCCGAATACTAAATCACACGGCAGCCTTAAATCACTTCCAAAGAGTGTCCTAGCCGGCGATTGGCCAGTAGTTTCATGTACAGCTGAGCGATAGGCCAACAGGAACATTTGGATGTGTTTATCCCAATTTCGTTGGCACTTTCCCACCACCTTTCGTAAGTGTTCCTCCAGAGTGCGGTTAAATCTTTCGACCATTCCATCCGATTGCGGGTGCAAAGGTGTTGTCCGCGTTTTCCTAATTCCCAACAAGCAACACAACTCCCTGAATACCGCGGACTCGAAGTTTCTTCCTTGATCTGAATGTAACTCCATAGGTACTCCGAACCGAGCAACCCAGTTCTGCACAAAAACATCAGCAATGGTTTTGGCCTCTTGGTTTGGTACAGCGTAGACTTCCGGCCACTTACTGAAATAGTCCATAATAACGAGCACATATTTGTTGCCCGAGTCACTTATCGGAAACGGACCTGCCACATCCATGGCCACTCTCTCAAATGGTGCACCCACGTTATATTGCTGTAATCTTCCACGACTTCTGGTCTTCGGACCTTTCGCTGCCATACACTGCCCACAATTTCGAATCCATTCGGCAATTGATTCTTTACAATTCACCCAGTAAAACCGCTGCTTAATCTTCTCAAGCGTCTTAGTAACACCCAGATGACCACCGCTTGGTCCATTGTGGAATTCCTCTAACACAGATGAAATTCTGGATTTAGGAATTACGATCAAATTGCGAGCATGATTCCCGTCCTCGCTTTCCCATACGCGATGCAGAACTCCATCAATTATTTTAAGGCTATTCCACTGCGCCCAATATGCCTTAGCCGCAGGACTTTCTATCGCCATTCCGGATTTAGATGGTCTCTCTCCAGCGTCTTTCGCTCCTATGATCCTTTTTAAGTCAGCATCGTTCA